GAGCGACTATGCTGTAGGTGCAGTATCGGGACAATTGAGGGACAAAATCTTCAAAGCCATCTACTATTCGAGTCGTACACTTGACCAGGCACAGAAGAACTATTCAACGACCGAAAAGGAAATGCTTGTTGTCGTTTATGCTGTTGACAAGTTCAGACCGTATATTTTGGGGTCTCAGGTGATCATTTACACCGACCACGCAGCTATTCGATACTTGTTCGCAAAGAAGGACGCCAAGCCCAGACTCATCAAATGGGTACTCCTACTAGCTCCAGGAATTCGACTTGGAAATCAGAGACAAAAAGGGGAGCGAGAATGTGGTAGCAGATCATCTTTCTAGACTCATACTAGAAGAAGTTCCAGCCGAAGGAAATATTCAGGAATCGTTCCCAGACGAGCAACTGCTCGCCATTAGTACTCACACTCCGTGGTATGCTGATGTGGCCAACTTCTTGGCCAGTGGAATCATTCCTGATGATCTATCTTATCACCAAAAGAAAAAATTCCTTCACGACAGTCGTTTCTATCTTTGGGACGAGCCGTTGCTTTTCAGAACCGGCTCCGATCGTGTCATCCGAAGATGTGTTCCGGAAACCGAAGTACGTGAGATTCTCACACATTGCCACTCTACACCTTGTGGCTGGCATCACGGGGAATCTCGCACAGCTGCCAAGGTTCTGCAGTCAGGCTTCTTTTGGCCAACCCTATTCCGAGATAGTTACGAGTTCGTGAAACGGTGTGATCGATGCCAACGAACAGGGAACCTATCCAACAAAAGCCAAATGCCTTTGAACAACATGCAAGAGGTGGAGCTTTTCGATGTTTGGGGCATAGACTTCATGGGACCATTCCCTTCTTCGAACGGGAAGTTATACATTCTGCTTGCCGTGGACTACGTGTCCAAATGGGTCGAAGCAATTGCTACCACTACCAACGATGCTCGTACAGTCCTCAAATTCTTCCACAAGAACATATTCTCAAGGTTTGGGACACCTAGGGCGTTCATTAGCGATGAAGGATCTCACTTCTGCAACAAACTGCTCACTAATCTCACGAACAAGTTGGGGATCCGACACAAAATTGCGCTTGCCTATCATCCACAAACAAATGGCCTTGCTGAGTTGTCAAACCGAGAAATCAAACAGATTCTGGAGAAGACCGTGAGCACGAACCGAAAAGATTGGGCGTTGAAGCTCGATGATGCACTTTGGGCCTATCGAACCGCATTCAAGACACCGATTGGGATGTCTCCGTACAAACTCGTGTTTGGGAAAGCATGCCACCTGCCAGTGGAATTGGAGCACCGAGCTTATTGGGCAGTCAAAAAGCTCAATTTCGATCAAACAGCTACCGGCGATCGTCGATTGCTTCAACTCAACGAATTGGAGGAGTTCAGAAACGATGCTTACGAGAATGCCAAGATTTACAAAGAAAAGACGAAAAAGTGGCATGACAAAAGAATTACAAAGCGAGAGTTTCGGGCAGGTGACCAAGTCCTGCTATTCAATTCTCGACTACGACTATTTCCGGGAAAGCTAAAGTCCCGTTGGTCAGGGCCATTCGTAGTCCTGAGCGCAACCCCACAAGGAGTTATTGAAATCCGAGGACGAGATGGCCCATCATTCAAAGTCAATGAGCAACGAGTCAAGCATTACTACCCAAATGGTGCTCCCGAGGAAGTGGAGCGTGTTGCACTGATTTTCTCCCAATAAATCCAAACTAAGTCGAGCCGTCGATTGTAAAACAGGCGCTAAATGGGAGGCACCCCATTGTTACTCGTATTTCTGTCATATGCTTATCTCGTATTTCTGTCATATGCTTTTCTCGTACTTCTGTCACTTCACCTCTTTAGCTTTCTAAATTTTGGCTGGTAAAAGGTACCATATCGCGATATGTATATCCAAATCGCGATATGGTAGGATGGGAAACAGAGAATCTGCAATTCTGCCATATCGGGCGATATGGGTGTCCATATCGGGCGATATGGGTGTCCATATCGCGATATGGGGCACTCTTTCCAGAACTCCCAGGTAAGGCCATATCGCGATATGGACTCATGTATCGGGATATGGGTGTCGGTTTATGCAGATTAAAGAGGCAGAAAACATAATTCAAATTCATTCCCCTCTTTCAAAATCACAAACATTACTCCTAAAAATTCGATTTTGAGCCCAAAATTTCACAACTCTTTCACAAAATCTTACACCCATTCACTTTAACACGCATTGTTGCACTTTTGGGGTAGATTATTGAATGAAATCTCCAAACAAGGTATGAATACCCAAACCTTGAAACCCTTGCAAAAAAAAAAAAAAAAAAAAAAAATCGAATTTCTTCAAATTTCTTGTTCCTTCTCCCTTGATTATTGTTGGGTATTGCAAATGTTCATTTTTTTTATGAGTCTTGGGGTTTGAAGCATGAGTTTTTGGTTGAACCAATGTCTAGATTTAGGAATTACCCTAACATGCTTAATTTTGAATTTCTTGTCAAATTTGCTTGGGTTAAATGTTGAATTTATGTTTATGTTTGTGAATGATGGATTTTAATTCTTGTGTTTGATTGTTCATTGTTGTAGGAGTTAGGTACCTTGCAAAAAGGAGCATTCAATAGTGTACCGAAACACCGCACACCAAGTGTTCGGTGAATTGCCCGAAAGAAGATTTCAAGCTAATTTACCACCCTGTCCAATCAAGCGCTTGCAATATGGCTCCGAGCAAGAAAAAGCCTCGAACCACGGCTTCGTCAAAAGTGCCAGAGAAAATTGGGGCCCGAGCCAACCAAAGGAACGCTCCGTCGGCACCAATCAAAGATGATGAATTTCAGACACACACATTCGTCAATCCACAAGCCGCCAAGGATTTTCAAGACCGAGCGAAGTCGATCATCCGGGAGCGAGAACTTCTTCTTGACGAGGAACGGAACCCGGAAATTTTCGACAATGTCATGAAACGAGGTTGGCAATCGTTCATTGAGTATCCGAGGGAGGCAAATGTCAGCATGGTCCGAGAGTTCTTTGCCAATGCGGCTCATTCCGATAACAACACATCTGTCAAGGTTCGAGATGTTGTAGTTCGATTTGATCCTGCCCATATCAACAACTACTTCAATTTGCCCGACTTATCGTTGGAAGGCTACAACATGGTGAAAAAGAAAACCATTTTCGATGATTTGATCAGAACTTTGTGCCCGAGGGGGACATCCTGGGAAGGGGATAAGAAAAGTTTCAATCGTTCAGAATTGTCTAAGGAAGCAAAGGCTCTTGCCCACATCGGCGGTGAGCACAGTCCTTCCCCCCGTTTGCTTCTTATCTATGCTATCATCATAGGGATCGACATCAATTGGGCTGGAGTTCCGACCCGGGAGAACGACGAGACAATGAAACCCCAACTGCCTATCAAAGATGTTTTTTCGTACAAGGACGTTGTTGGGCCGGACGATCCATGTATGGGAGGCGATGACGACGAGTGAGATGCCCAGAATGCTCCAGCTCCACGGCGAGCTGCTCAACCACGCCAAAAAGGAAAGCAATCAGTTCAAGAGATTGGCGACGGGGACCGAGAATGGAAGGAGGCAGTCGAAACACACCTGACATTCATCGGGAAAATGTTGCGGGCACTCACCAGCAAAATGGGGTGCGACACCACAGATATCGCAGAACCCCTCCCTTTCCCACGACATGCTGCAGTTGTGGATAGGGCCGAGAGCTCTCAAGCGAGACGAGTCATAGAGAGCGACGAAGAGGAGGACCTAAACAACTAAGGGACGTTGTGTATTCTTTCCCTTTTATTTTTTATTCTGCTTTTGAGCATAGGGACTATGCTAGAGTTTGAGTTTGAGGTTGGTGTTTGTTGAACCTCTTTGTTTTTGTTTTTATTTCGTTTGTTTTGGGATAAGTCGTTGGATTGATATTTCGTTTACGATGTATCTTTGCTAGACTTTGTTTTTATTTTATTTTTATTTATCTTATTTTGATTTGGTCTTTTGCATGCATATCATATAATTTAGTTTCGTTTATGTATTTCGATTTCCGTAATTGTGGTATGTTTGTCACATGCATTTCATTTAGGATCGAATTTGCATTTCCGGGTTCTATTGAAGCAAAGCAATTAATGAATTAGTAGATGGGCTAGTTGATTTTAAAATTGAAATTATGGATAACCGGCTAATTATAGATGAACCTTCCGACTGCGTTTTTGCAACTTGTGTGGATAGACTTTCGAATCCTTTCCGATTAAGCTTGAGCGCACTTTTCTGAGGGGTATAATAGTTTGAGGTGTGGGGGACGAGTTAGAATTGAATTATGTGTTCACGATTTCCTGTTGTTGGCTAAAAGTTTTATCAATGGTCTTTACGTTTTTATTTTATGTTTTATGTTAAAAGAGAAAAAGAAAAAAAAGAAAAAAAAGAAGAAAAAGAGAAAAATAATAATTTGTGGTATTGTTGTGATTCACGCTCTGATTTCCCCGCCTTTCTGACTCGAGCTTAACCCGTTGGGTGCACCTCGTCGCCTAAGTCTCTCGAGCTGTCGAGCTTGGGGGTTTCTTGGACTAAAGTT